TTTGGGGCCTGTAGCACGGATGAGCTGGAATAGTTGCCGGGTGTTTCCACACCTAGCTGCTGATTCCATCTCCTTTGCACGTAGCGTACACCAGGCCTCTCTGTCGTCTCTCAAACTCTGTGAGTTTACGCTTCAAGGAGAGGCGCTATTCATTGTACTCGTGGTCTGCCGGGATAGCCCGGCGCGCGTCGAGGAGTCTGAGAGAGTTGGAGGAGACCCAGTGATTTACAACTCGGCGGGTTAGGCCACAACTGTGTAAACCGGCTGAGTGCATTGCGCTTCGGATGGTTGTCCAGTGTTGGTCTACGCCACTTGGTGGAGTAGCAGTTAGCCTTGCGGCCAACTCGTTTTGATAAGCGGCCAGTACGGCCGGGTCAGAGAGCTTGACGATGTCGAGCTGTTTGCATCGCATCTTTTTGCGGCCACCAAATAGCATAGTCAACTTGGCACAAACCAGTGCGTGGTCGGAGTCCAAGCAGGTACAAGGGACGAGTGACCAACCGCAACCGGAGACACCCACCCCGGACCACGCTGAGGCTTTCGGAGGCAAACACCTCAATGACAACAGCTTAAGCGGTTGAAAAAGTGCCCAAGGTTATTTTTACTAATTCCTTACTCTAGTTGTCCGTTTCATCCGTATTCACTCGAATAAATTCGATCGCACATATCCGTACGGATTTTTCAGTACACATATCCACTTTTTTGCAGGTTATTCGGCGAGGTGTTCTTTGTGCCCAGAAACTTAGACTGACCTAAAATGGATTCGGGTATGCTCGACACGAAAACTGTCGAGGAAATGGAGGAGTATATGGACGAACTCGGAATGCGATTCGAATACTCATGCAAGAAGGAACGTGATCCACTTGGTACGTTGTTCGTTCTGTTCCTAAATACCGTTTTTGTTTTCAAGCCTGTCATTCATTTGCCCAGTGGCTAGAAACTTACAAGCGATTGCCTAAAGAATGCGCTGATGTGCTCAAAGACAATTGTTTTGATTTGAAATACGGCCAAAGTTGCTTCAAGTACGGTTACCTCCGATTATTCGGCAGAAATGATCTGTATCGTGATCCTCTCGCTGCGTTCCAAGCCTTTGAGTTTGGATGCAAGTCAACCGATCATAGCAAATGCTGTCAGGTAGGAGTCTTCTTGAACAAATTCCAACTGGGGGATTGGTGTTTATGATCAGGCAAATGCTTATTTAATGCTTAGTTAATGATGGGCTGAGCGACCGTAACAAAGCCATTTCATATACACTTTAGGCTTGCTCACGCTTCAAGTAATTTAGTATATGCATGTTCAAGTAAGATAATTTATCATTGAAAGAATCTTCTAAGATTCAAGGTTTGATTCCTGCCACTAGCACCAACTGTGGCGATACGAGGCTTGATGGTCACCCGGTTCAGTATGACACCTATCCCACTGGATCATTATGTACTACACCACTCTAAGTCCCAGGAACCAGGTCGGTTGTTCTCATGACCAAAACAATGGGTTCCGTAAACACAGGGTTCACCCTTTTCACTGATTGTTGTGTCCGCCATTTGGTCAGCGCCTCGTGTCCCACGAGACATTTATGGACGATTCCCAATAAAAACAAACAAACATTGGAACAGTGTGAGAGAGCTAATTGCAAGCGACAGAAAATCACGTTTACTAGTGGAAAAGCCTGTTGTATTTATAGAGCTGTGCAAAACCTAGGTCATTTTGAGACACGAAAGTGCCAAGGAGGCAAATGAACCAGCCGGATTGCTGTATTCTGTCAGCTGGCTTCGTTTCCACCAATCCATTGTGACATTCATTGAACAGGGAAACAAGGGTAACTTCTCGTGACAGCGATTTCCCCAAGCCGTTTGCCATTGCCATTGTGGAAATTTTCCGGGGGAAAATAGGTTTGCTCTCGCATTTCACGTTAAACATGAACCGTTGAGATAAAATTATATATTTAAATCAATATTTGCGTTTTTGTCTAAAGTAGACAAATAAAAGTTGCTTCTCCATAAAGTTCATTATAAAAGTGAGATAATTTGAGGGGGGACCTAAAATGGCATTTCCTTCAGCTTCTTTTTTCGAACCTCTATCGGGATATGGTGTACTCTCAGCACCTTGTTTATCTAAAGCCATTGTGGGAACCAAATATCCGAGCGTGTTTGGATTGTATCATCGAACCACGGTTAACAGCAACCTAGAGGTCGGGGTTTCGAATTCTGCCACCGCCACCTGTCTTTATCAGTTATGTATGTCCTCAGCTTCCTTGAAAAAAATAAATGTACAACTGTGTTCTCTTCAATTAAAAAAGAAGCAATCGGTTATTGTTGACACGAGGTACATGAAAACTATATTTGTTTCTCTGGTTCTTCCCTGGCAAACGTTACATTTCAACACCCAACTACATAACATATTCTCCTGTGCTCGTCAAAACATTACTTTACTACTTTACTTTCATGGACTAACTGTGATATTGTGAATCGTCATCCGAACCAAAGTGTAAACACCCTATGGGATTTGTAAAAGCGAAGTCTTTGTAAGTTATATTCCATAACAAAAATTTGAATTTGAAATTCCTATCCTATCCTCGTGCAGGGATAGCGGTATCGATTTACTTCCGGGTGGCAGACTGTCTGATCTAGAGTATGCAGACAGCATTGTGCTACCAAGTGACGATCCAGGTAAGTTGCAAGCTTTTCTGGATAGTTTGAGTGCTAGTGTTGCCATGTTTGGTATGCGTTTTGCACCTTCAAAGTGTAAAATGCTACTACAAGATTGGGTTGATCCAGCGCCCAGTCTCATCCTAACTGGGGAAGTAGTAGAGGAAGTAGACAAATATTGCTATCTAAGCAGCTATATCTCACCCGGCGGACGCATCACAGATGAAG